CATATGGGGCTGGCGTCCTACTCCTTTGAGCCACAGGTGCCACCCAATAGTGACAATTTTCTTTCTTGAAACAGTAGATGCTGGAGTCTTACTGATCATCAAAAAGAGTGAAATCTCATCATTAACACTGGAGTTTATTTGATGTTTGATAAATACTACTGGTTAGCTTAAGTTGAGTTATTTGTGTTCCAAGCTGCTAAAAGTTTTTCTTCTGGAACAGGTGGTTAATGTTATTGCCTTTTGTGTGGTCATAGGGATGTGTATAGTTTACCTCTTCAATCTATTAATGTGGTTAATGATTTTATAGTTTTAATGATGTTAAAACATCTTTCCTTACCTGAGGTAAACTCAGTTTGTTCTTTATATGTTTTTTCTGTATTACTTGATTCTGATGAAACATTTTGTTCAGGATAAGTCTTCATAACTGAGGTTACCTATAAATTTTTCTTTCTGTTACTATACTCATGGTTCTTGTTACACTGGCCTCATAGACTTGTTTGCTGGATGAGTTTCTGTGAGTTAGGAATGATCTGTTTCTTAAAACTGGTAAAACTCAGCTATAAAGCCATATGGTCTTGATACTTTTTTTTGAGACACTAAAAAATAATTTTCTTATTTTGCTTTAATGGTTAGGCCTTCTGCTTTTTTCTTGATTTAGTGGTATTGGTAAAATATATTTTTCCTAACAATTTGCCACAAAGTTATTTATAACATTCTCTTTTTAATATTTGGTGAATCTGTAACTATGTTCCTTTTCATTCATTGTTAATATTATTTATAAATGTCTTCTATCTTTTTTTTAATATAATTTGGCTGAAGATATATCAGTTTTATTAGTGTTTTCAAAGAACTAGTGTTTTGCTTTGTTAATGTTCTCTGTTAAATGTTTGGTTTTCATTTCACTAATTTCTGCTTTTTATTATTGTGTTCATTCTACTTTGGGTTTGTTCAAGTTTTGGTTTTGGTATTTTTCCTCTAAGTTATTAAGATACATGCTGATAAAATTAATTTTCTGACTTCCTTTCCAATATAAATATTTAAGAAAATAAATTTCTCCTAAGTATCTCCCTTTTTTGCATTATACAAATTTTGATGTGAAATATTTTTATAACTGTTTTGTTCTAAGAATTTTAAAGTTCTGATTATGATTTTTCCTTTTTTCTGTGAGTTGTTTAGAAGTGTATAATTTAAAAGTGTGTCATTTAAAAGCATGCTCTTAATTTTCTAAACATACATGGATTTTTAAATTTATTTTTTATTGACTGATAATGTAATTACATTTTGGTCCAAGACATAGTCTGTGTACCTTTTTGAAATTTTTTGTATTTTCTTTGTGACTTGGCTTGTGGTCATTTTTGTAAGTGAAACGTAAGAACTGGTGTAATATCATGTTACTTTCTTGTTGGTGAAGAATTTATTGGGAGTAGAAATTTGATTTGACTCTATTTCTGCATTGTTAGGACTTGAAAGTTCTGGTGGTAGAGTTTTTTATTTCAGGTTAATTTCAGTTTGACAATAAATTTTTAAAACTTTCTTAACATGTTTGAAGAACACTTTTTTTTAAAAAAAGGTTGTTATCAGAAGAATAATAACAATAGTTCCCTAAGTAAAAATTCTTAAGTAAAACCTTAAGTAAAAACCCAAAGGGGAAGTAAAAACTCCAGCACCCTGTTGTGAGGTTAGAGAATAAGAAAGAGAGTCTAGACCAATTTTTAAACAGGAAGAAGAGAATTTCACTCTGGTGGGGAAATCTAATAAAGATAAAGTTTCCCTTTTCTGATTTCCTTGTAATTCAGATTGGTTGGTTAGACACAGGAACTTAGTTATTTTAAGTGATAAGAGAAACATACATGCAAATCTGTACAGGCTCATTGATCTCAGGTAGTTAGTGAAATACATCAGTGGTTCTGCTGTCTTACTTGTTTTTGCTTCTTTCTGTTTATTTTTATAGGTAGAAGAAGTGAAAAAGCACCAGCATTGTTTAGCATTTAGCTCCTCTGGACCCCAAAGCCAGACTTACTACATTTGCTTCGATACCTTCACAGAATACTTAAGGTGGCTGCGACAAGTCTCCAAGGTAAGCAGGCACTTGCCCAGGAGTCTTCGGCTTTGAGCTGGCCAACAAGCTGCTTTCTGCTTTACCCAAGTCCAGAACAAAGTTAGACACACTTTTCTTTTTTTCATATGTTGCCAGGAGGTATCAATTTTTAGGTTTTCAAAAGTTAATTTTGCCTGAAAAGTAAGTTTTTAAAATTTTTTTCTTTATCAGGTTTTGTTTATACTTAAAAATAATTCATTCAGTAGTGTGGCATTACTGTCTTAATGTTGTAGATAAAAAATATGAGATTGAGAATATTTAAGGGACTGGCCCAAGGTAGAAAAATAGTGAAACCACGTAATACCCGGAGAATTATTACAAATTTCCCTTCTTCCTCTATTTTTTCATTTACATAGTCTAATCTTGTGCCATCTCCCTATCACCTTTTTCTGCCTTAAAGAATGGTTACTTTTTTTGTTTTGCTTCTCGTGATTAAATAAGATCCCCACCTGTCATGGAATAACACATAGTACCTTTGTGTGTGTAATAGAAAATGATAACTTGTAAAAATGTCAGCATTTATTTATCCTTTCATTTATGGAGTTGTACAAAAGGATGGGGTAGATTGTAGAACTTAGTATGTTGGCTTTGGGTATGTTTTTGAAATGATGAAACCTCTAGGGTAGAGGAACATTACAATGGAATTTGCTTTCTTACTTTTGAATTTATAATCCTATTTGTTGCCCAAGTTCAGTGTGATTCATATTGCTGTATGATGTAATTATTTGTCAAATGAATGAGTAACTATAAAACAGTTAACAGAAAATTAGGTAATAATATGTAGAAGGTTGTTTTGAAATACTGGCCACACTTGAATTATCAGGTAAAAACCCATTCTCTGGTGCTGGGCTACCACTTAAGATCATCAGTTCTTTTCTTTATAAGAAGAAGAAATGACAAGTTTCTGTTGATAGGACTTAGAAGATTCCCTCTACCTACCAGGAAAATGGAAGTCCTAAATGTAGAGGGCAGCACTCCTTTGGGAGAAAATGGGAAAGATGACACTTTTCCTTCCCCCTTGCATATGGAATTAATGTGATATAAAGGAGATAAGTACATCGTCTAGTTATTTTAAAATTACTCTCGTGATTGCAGATATGAGGCAATGAGTAGTAAATAATATTGGGCCTTTATATTTAAGTGGTGCTTTTTCATTGTGCTTTTATATGTATTTATATTTAAGTGGTTGTATGGGTTCAAAGCAATACTCCAATTGCCTGCACTCTGCTTTATTCAGAATAAAAGTGCCAAACTGATCAACACACAGCAAATTTCTTCCCATATGGAGATAATGATTTTTTTAAATAACTTTTTAAATTTTTTATTTAATTATTAACTATATAATAATTATATTAATATCATATGTTAATACATTTATATTTGTAGGCAAAGTTGCAAAGATAGTACAATGAGTTCCCAGAGACCCATCACTCAGTTTCCCAATCATATCACATTTGTCAAATCTAAGGAACCAGTATTGGTACATTACTCTGCTTCCAGACTTTATTTAGATGTCATTACTTTTCGCATTAACTTCTCTCTGTTCCAGGATCTAATCCAGGGTACCACATTGCATTTGTTGTCATGTCTCCGTTGTCTTCTCTGTTCCTTGACAGTTTTTTAGTTTTTCTGTGTTTTTGTTTTTTGATTTTGGCCGGGGCTGGGTTTGAACCCGCCACCTCTGGCATATGGGGCCGGCGCCCGACTCCTTTGAGCCACAGACGCCGCCCTTTTTCTGTGTTTTTCATGACCTTGACAGTTTTGGGGAGTGCCAATGGGGTATTTTATAGAATGTCCCATAAGGATATGTTTTGATCTTTTAGACTAAATGTGGTGTGATGCATTTTAGAGCAAATTTCAGCTGCTTTACATTCTTTTTGAAACAAGTCCAAGGTATAAATTCTTAAGCACAGATAAAGACATAAATAGGAATAAACATAAATTATCAAGCTTACACATGGGCACATTGTTTTGCTTGAAACAGTAACAATAAAAAGGATCAGTAGGCATTGAGTTTAATGGTGTTGTAAGCTCTGGAGGTAGAGCAGAGAACAAATCCAATTCTCCTCTCTTGGTAGGGTTTACTCTGGCGAGACAGGTGATAAGTAAACAGACAAGAAAGAAAATAGAAGTAATCATAGTGATATGCAAGAGGATGTGTGACAGAGAAAGGTGGGGAAGGGACAACTTTTTCTGATGGTGGGATAATTAAACAGAAACTTCAATGAAAGCATTATAATTATTTGAAGGTCTGGTGGGAAGAGCTTTCCAGGTGGACGGTAAAGGTAAAGTGAGAATACAACAGGGAGTGTCACAGCTTGGGAAGTCAAGGTAGGCAGGGTCTTATGTTATAGAATAGGAGAAAGAGTTTGGATATTGTTAATATAACATAAAGCCATTAAAGAGTTTTCTTACAGACAACTATGTAATCTGATAGTGGCCGTGGTATAGCCAATGGATTATAGAGGGCAAGATGGAAGGGGAGGCCTTACCATCTGGAGGCTTTATGTTTAGTTTAGGCAAGAGGTGAGGGTGTATTTGCAGGGAAAAGTTGGGTTTTGTAGATCAAATGACAGGATTACTGGTAAATCACATACATGTGGCCTGAGAAAAAGGAGAAATAAAGAATGGCTTCTATATTCGAATTGCTAGATAGATTATAGCTTTAGTGATAGCACTAATTAGACTCTATATTTTACATATTTAAGACTTTGGTAAAATACCGTTCTTGACTTCAGAGAGTTTTCTACTCCAAGAGAAGGCAGAGAGTCAAAGCTCAAGATGTAGATTATGAAATATTTTTAAAGTAAGTGAGGAAAATAATTGAATTCTAACGTGGTTCTAGTGATTTGTAAGTGTCAAGTGTTAGATTGTTTAGTACTCTTTCCCCTTTCTGGCTGGCTGATGTGCCATCTTGTGTAGTGTGTCTGTCACAAGGTTCTCACTTTGATTACCCAAACCATGAGCAGCCATCAGATCTCTGCAGCAGGAGACAGTGGAAGGTGGGGGGAAGATTGTGACACAGGAAAACGTGATGTAGCAGGGTGGGAGAAAGGAATGTCAGTGCCCCTGTCCACTGAGTAGTGTATCACCATTAGAAAGCGTTTGATAAGTGGGGAAATGTAGTGTAGTTATTATATGTAGAGGATAATTCATATATATATATTTACACAAAATACGTTTTATACTTAAAACAATTGTTAATGAGTTTTTCCAGGAGGAAGGAGGAACTTTGATTTAATCACCATAGATGATTATTTATTAACTAGAACTAATTAGAATAAGAATTCTCACCTCCTTTCCTTTCAGAAGGGCTTTGAATGTTTGGAGAAGATACATAGTGTGGGGGTAAAGTTTGAGTTTCAAAGTAAAGCAGATGTGAATTCCACTGTTTACTGGCTATGTGGCTATATCTAAGTTTCTCAGTTTTAGGCTTTTTCGTCTGATAAAGGGAATAATAAGAGCACTTTACCTCTTAGGACTTATAGGAGGTATGCATCTAATGGATTTACAATAGCACATAGTGTCTGTGTGTATGTGAATGATGAAATTTTAACTAAGTAGATAAAATCATCTTATGGCAGTCTTTTCCTACGATCATCCCTTGGTCTGATAATCTTTTAAAGTATCATCTAATTGTTTATTTTCAACAGATAAGGACACAGGTCTTATTTTGTCTGAGCAAATTACCTTTTGCTGCCCTTAACAACCACATTAGCCTTTTGGGGAAAGTGATTAAGGATGGGCAGACGTTGGGGAGAATGAAAATTTCTTCCTTAAAAGTTAGGAGTTGGAAACGGAGGCAAAACATTTTAGTAAACGCAGATTTTAGATACGGTGTCTTTACTTAACCTTAAACATTAGATATATGTTTAAAAAATGTTTAGCAGTTATAGTGAGTAAATTAAAGGGCAAGTGGCTTGTAAGGGGCTGATTGAAGAGGTTAGATATTATAGAAGAAATGGGTGAAGGAACTCTCTGTTTGTGTTCGAATCCCGTGTAAAACCTGACTGTAGCTTTCTTTAAATTTCATATGTTGTGAATCATCTTGTGATAGTTTTTTTTTTCCTTTAGTTCAGAATCTGAGGAGAGTAGGTTGGGGTTGCTGAGAAGAGGATGAGAATCGTGGTCCATTTGAGAATAGTCTTTTGGGGACTTTGCTGTGGATAAGGCTGACTGCTAAAAGCCCCTTCTACTCCCAGCTTCCCCTTCCGCTGTCTTCTGCTCTTCCTCCTATGTAGGAAGGTAGACAGTTTAGTTCACACACTCAGGGTTACTGTGGAAACATTTAGTTTCTTTTTCTTTTCTTCATATTGAGACACAAAGCATACACAGAGTGGATTGTGTGTCTTTACATCCTGACATTTAAATGAAAGTCCATTTGATAAGGGTCTGAAAAAAGACCAACCACAGAAAGGAGTGTCTGAGTTTCTGATTTTTAATTATCATCCCCACCCCAGTTTGGGTGGGAGGACAAAAAAGAATTCCAGTTATTTTTAAATTAAAATGAATTGGTAAGTAATTTTAAAGGAAAGTTCTTTATTTTCAGTTCCTTTTTCTGGATTTTATATATAAGAGAAGTGTTCAGTTCTGTTCTAATTTGATTTGACTTGGGGAAAATTTATAAAAATCAAGTATGTTTTTACCAAGGTAGGCTCTTACATACTTTTAAGCTTAGTCTTAGCACTTACTGTTGCTTGCCAAAATAATACCCAAGGCAGTGCCTTTAGAGTTTTTACTTTGGGCGTGTGTTAGTGGTAGACACTGTGGAAAGCTCCCTTGGGAGGATTACAATATTGGTTGTAAGTTCATACCTAAGATATTAAGGCAGGGCATGCTGTAAGAATTCAGTAAACATCCTATTGTATACAAGGGAAAAAAGTACTCTTTTTGCTGAGCATAGGTACGTGTATCCAGCATGTTTTCAAAGTGGTGGGCCAGGCAACAATATACAAAGGCAGAGGGTGGGAGCTGAGAGC